GGCTTTGTAAATCCTTCCCACACTCTTGCAATGTTCTTAACTTTTAAACCTACATCATTTTAACAACATATATACTATACAATACTGCAAGATTTTACTCACCAGCTCTGCAGAACTGCAGCTCTGTTCTGGTTGAGCTCTGTTCCGGTTCTGCGGATCTACCCTGCAGCGACGAAGCCCACTGCCCTGTCTAGAGTGATGCACGTGTGAATAATTGAGCTTCAGGAAGATTCAGGATTATTTGTGACTTTCCTGCCAGTTTGTGAGCTTTATAGATGGTGTAAATTTACGTTGCAAATTGTTTCCTCCATTTGGCAGAAAGCAGTGGCTGGAAGCACTGTTGACTTCTGGGTAGTTTAGTTCTTTTGACTGGCGTTACAGTGTAGGCTTATTGAAAGGAAACTACAAACTGGCAGCGCCTGTTCAAAGTTTTTTTTTTTTCTCGTTGACTTTGTATCCCGTACCGTCCCAATCTTAGATCGTATTACTGTTTTTCTTTTACATTTTATTGTTGGATGTAACTGGGACCCTGTGAACATAATCTCGCTCCACCACATGTACCACATGTGGTGCAAAAGACAAATAAATCTCTCTGAATCACGTGAGTAATATTAAAGTTGACAATCGTTGAAAAACCGCAAAAGAGCAAGTCTGCGAAAGTCGAACCGCGGAGTAGCGAGGGACTACTGTATACCCAATTTATTTTATTTTTTTATCTGTCTAAAAGAAAGTGAGATTATCTGTTCAGGCTGTTTGGCTTCATTGTTTCTAATCTGTTTTCAATTAGAAGATTAAAAATGTAGTCTGACCATTTTTGAAGTGTTGTCATTAGTTATCAATAGTTGCTAAATTATCAGCGGTAACATCAGTCACTCCGAGAGAAGAAAGCGAGGACTCATTGCTTATTGCGTTTCAGGATTATTTTAGAAAAATGTTTTTAATTAGCCAATATTAAATCTTTACACTTTTTCACAAGACACTTTTAGTTTGCTGCTGTTTTCTTAACTAATTTCAACCATTTGGTAGAACATCACTTCAGTAATGACCAGATTATTGATTTTAATTATGAAACATGGATTTCTGTGAATCACTTTTTAAAAAGTGAAATTATTTTATTTTAGGATTATTGAAAACCAAGAAGCGTTGGGGCTTTTATTCTGAAACTTTCTTTAACGTCAAATTCAATGAAAGGAAACTGCAAAAGATTCAAAACGGGTGTTCAATCACTGGTGATCAGTTTGTCTAAACATCATCGTTACCATCCATCCCATAATTTCATTCCTCACCCAGAAACACTCTCCTCTTCCCTAAAAGATAATCAGCTCCTTTGCCAACACGCCTAATCTACTGATGGTTAGAGGTTTACAGCTGGGGTAGTGATTCGTTTTTTGTTTTTTTTTACTGCTTGGGTCTGGAGATGTATGGATGCTTTTGGTTGGAAAAAAAATTAAGATAATTTGTACAAACTGGTTAAAATCAAAACTTTTAAAATCCAAGAACGGTCCTGAAAAGGCTCAAAGTTTTATGAAAGCAGTCAAGAGCATCTCTCAGCATCTCCAGGAAGGTTCGGTGTGCGAGGGAATGAACGGTGATGGGTATTGATTTGGTTTTCATTAATTTCTGTCAAATCTGAGGGATGATTTTCATTCTGCAGCCTCTTTTTTTCACCTGAGTGGAGGTTAAATTGATGCCCATCCTGAGTATGTGAATCACTGATATGATCGTGTGCAGTGACTTGCTCTTTCAGACGCTCTGTAGGTTACTGCATGCAAAGCATTACAAACAAACTCTGACCATAAAATTTACATTTTGTCCCACTCTAGTTCTAAAAGATTGATTTTTAATGTAAATTAGAAAAATTGCATTTCCTGCGAAAGTGCAGTGTGAATGCTCACTGCAGAAGAACATGCTGAAATGTAGCTGAAAAGGTGGAACAAGCTTAAATTAGCAGAAGAAAGCAGAAAGAACACGTTTGCCCAATTAGGCTGAAAGAAGCGGACTTGAGCACAAAAAAGTGGATATTATCTGAAAAAAGCAGAAATTGGCAAAAAAAAACAGCTGAAAAGTTGCTAAAACATCAGAAGGAAACAAAATTACTAGAAGGAAGTGGAGAGAGAGCACATTTTTGCTGAATTAGGCTAAAACAAGTTGAAGTGAGTGCCAAAAATGTGGAATTAGCTGAAAAAGCTAAAATTGGCATTAAATGTAAATAATATCTGAAACAACTTAAACTAGCATAAATAAGCTTAAAGGAACAGAACAAGCTAAAATCACTGTAAAGAAGTTAATTAATTGTCATCGTTCTTTGTTGAAATCAGGTCTCTCTTGTAAATGAGTCCTCGAGGCTCAGTGGGATTTACCAGTTTAAATAAAGGTTGAATGAATGAATAATTAGGCTGAAAGTAGCAGAAATTCCCACAAACAACTTCAATTTATATGAAAACAGCTGAAATTAGCTAAAAAGTGTAGCTGAAATGTAGAACAAGCTGAAATTAGAATAAGAAAACAGAAATAACATGTTTGCCCAATTAGGCTGAAAGAAGCAGCACAAAAAAATGGAAATTATCCGAAAAAAGCTAAAATTAGCAACAAACAAAAAAACTGCTGAAAGTAGCTGAAAAGGCATAAATTACACGAAGGAAGTGGAGAGCACATTTTTTTTACTGACATAAGCTGAAAAAGGTTTAAATGAGTGCAAAAAATGTGAAATTATCAGAAAAAAACTAAAATTAGCATAAAAACTGCTAAATAGAAGCGGAAATATCTGAAACTTGCATAAATAAGCTGAAAGGAGCATGACAGGCTGAAATTAGCAGGAATAAAGCTCGAAGAAACACAAACGTGATGTGGTTAGCAGAACTAATCATAAAACGGCTGGGAAAATGGCTGAAAGAAGCTGAAAAAAGTTTAAAGCTGAAAGAAGCTGAAGCAGAACAAAATGTGATGGGAGCAGTAAAAGGTTGAAAACGGATCTAAAGATTTGAAGGATGTAAAATCAGCTCAGTTCATTTCTTATGAGAAAAAAATGGCAGAAAAGGCTAAATATTTCAAAAAGCTAAAGTTGCACCAATACCAAAAGTCATAGCGGGATTGTCCTGAACGAGCTGAACATTTTGATTTATAATTTGTTGAAATAGCAAAAAAAAATAAAAATTGGAACGAGAAAGATGCCCAAAAACGTTCAGAAGAATAATGGATCCAAATAATTGAATGCTTTATAAACATTCATTCTATTATTCCAAAGGAAAAGGGATCTACTTTTCTGCGACAGATTTAGCAGCTGAGTCTTCCTGTTGGAAGATATTTTTACGAGGTCCGATCTTAAAGTAGATTTGAACCAGTTTGAACCACAAACGTGTCGGAGCGACTGTGCTGGGTCGGGCCAGCAGAGCCCGGCCTGAGCCAGGCGTCTCACGTTTCTCTGACCACATCTCTCGTGTCCAACTGAAGCGTCACAGAGCTGACAGCAACTCACTGCACACGTCCCTCCAGCACTCTGGGGGGTCTGAACATCTGCTTGCGTTTCCTCCAAAACAATTTCTCTTCAATTTATGTTCTGATTTGGTTCCATGGATTAAGAAAAAGTGAGTAACAAGAATCCAGTGATGAAAGTTTGACATTTGCAGTGATGGGAATCTTCCAAGTATTATTCCCTTTTTAAAGAGAACGTTGTTTTTTTGTTTTTTTTAAGAAGGGTTCTGTGGAGTTATCAGCAGTCAGTATCTTACCCGCAGCAGGGTTTGAGTTTGGATCAAGAGAAGTTCGAATTGCAAAGATGAGCTAACCGATGGTATGGATGGACATTTTAAGCAAAACCACTCTTTGAATTTGCAGTTAATTATTTTATTTGTGTTCCCTCCCACCCACCAGAGACCACTACAAACATACAAACAACCTGCAGCAATTTATTCTGATCACAGAATGTTCTTATTTCAGCCTTTAGTCCTGCGGGAACATTTAAAAAGGACAAGTTTCAGCACAACAACTGTTAACTAGAGAAAAACACTTCCTGCACAAATGCAATGTGAATGCTTGTTGCACAAGAACTTGCTGAAAAACAGCTGAAATTAGCAACAACAACAAAAAAACATGCTGAAATATAGCTGAAAATGTAGAAAAAGCGTAAATCATCAGGAGAAAGCAGAAATAACAAAAAAGTTGAAAGAAGTGCAAAAAATGTGGAATTGGCTGAAAAAGATTTTGGCATAAAAACAGCTAAATAGTAACTGAAATAACTGAAACTATCAGAAATAAGCTGAAAGGAGCATAACCAGTTGAAGTTAACAGAAATAATTTAATTAGGTTGAAGGTAGCAGAAATTACCATGAAAACCTAAAATTTATCTGAAAACTGCTAAAATTAGCTAAAACAGGCTAAAAAAAAGGTAGCTGAAAAGGTGGAACAAGCTTAAGTTAGCATCACAAAGCAACATGTTTGCCCAATTAGGATGAAAGAACCAGAAATGAGCACAAAAAGTGGAAAATACCTGAAAAAAGCTGAAATTAACAACAACAACAAAAAAACAACAACAACTGAAAAGTAGCTAAAAAGCAGAAAGAAACTTAAATTACCAGAAGGGAGTGGAGAGTGCACATTTTTGCTGAATTCGGCTGAAAAAAGTTTAAATGAGTGCAACAAAAGTGGAATTAGCTGAAAAACCTGAAGCTAGCAGAAATAAGCTGAAAGGAGCACAACAAGCTGAAATTAGCCGAAAGAAGTTCGAAGAAGCACAAAAATGTTGTAGTTAGCATAAAGATCCTGAAACAAGCACAGAACAGCTGAAATCAGCTGAAAGCAGCTGGGGTAAAAAAGTTTAACTTTGCAAAAGGAAGCTGAAAGAAGCTGAACCAGAGCAAAATGTGAAAGGAGCAGTAAAAGGTTGTAAACAGATCTGAAGGATGTAAAATGAGGTAAATTAATTTTCTATGAGGGGAAAAAAGTGGCAAAAAAGGCTAAATTTGTCAAAAAGCTAAAGTTGCACCAATACCAAAAGTCATAGCACCCTTCTGAACGAGCTGAACGTTTTGATATATGATTTGTTGAAATAGAACAAAAACTGTGGAACGAGAAAGATGCTGAAAAACGTACGGGAAAAAAATGGATCACGATAGTGTGAAAACTTCGTAAATGTTCACACAAAAAGCTCGTTTCAGTCCATTTCATGGTTTGACTCGTCAGAAATCAGTTTCCTAACAGTTGGGACTTGTGGTGAATTAAAATGTACACACCCCGAGTCCAGCAGCTGAAAACCTGTCTAATGAAACTGAGACTTCAGGTACAGAAGGTGCTGCTGATAGTTGTGCTAGCTGGAGATCTTTATATTTCTTAATTTCCACTTATCATATTTATGCTCTGAAGGATAGTTTCCACTTTGTATCTGCGGATGTACTTTATTTTGAAAAGGTTACTGTCACAGGGCTGTAGGTGTCCCACAAAGACAGACCGGTGTAGAAAATTAAAAGCATACAAAGACGATCACAACACATTTGTTCTTTAAAATTTCCCTAGATGTATTTTAGATTCTTCCCTAACAACAAGCCAAAACGGCACTAAAACAAAGTTCATCTCTGCAGCCTGAACATCGTTCTCTAAACTGGGGTCATTCATACTTGTCTACAACAGATGAGATACTCACTACTTATAACAGCTCCACAGAACCCTGCTTCCAAAGCTACAAACAGTACTTGTATGTTAACAGCTTGAATAAAAGGTAAATACTGTTTAATGCGTTAGACCTGCCAATTTCAGACTTTCACGTGACATTTCATTTAGTCAGTGATAACCTTTAGAATGAGCTTGCTGAAACTAACAGTCATTAAAATCTGACACGTGAGGAGCTGAAGGCTGCTCGGGCTTTTCTCTTACCTGCGAACTAATCTGAGGCATCTGGAGTAGTTCCAATTTGTTTTTACAGGAAAGTAGCAAATGCAGTAAAATTCGTAAAAATACTCCACATATCTTAAATGTAGCCAGCCCCCCCCCCTCCCCCCCCCCTTCATTCTTTTAAAAGTTTATTTTAACATTTATTTAAGTCTTTGAGAGCATCATCTATTTCCAAATAACTACCGTAATTGTTGCTGTACACATCGCACCGCCATATAAGTCGCATCAGTCCATATGTCTAATAAAGTGGGAAAAAAACACAAAGAAGTCGCTTCATCATATAAGTCGCATCAGTCCATATGTCTAATAAAGTGGGAAAAAAACACAAAGAAGTCGCTTCATCATATAAGTCGCATCAGTCCATATATGTTTAATAAAGTGGGAAAAAACATAAAGAAGTCGCTTCATCATATAAGTCGCATCAGTCCATATATGTCTAATAAAGTGGGAAAAAAACATAAAGAAGTCGCTTCATCATATAAGTCGCATCAGTCCATATATGTTTAATAAAGTGGGAAAAAACATAAAGAAGTCGCTTCATCATATAAGTCGCATCTATTACGCGTCACCGCTGACCACCCGGAAATGTGGGCCGGTGTTGTGCCAAAAATCAATAGGCTGCCAAATGGTGGCTGCGGGAGCATGGACGGGAGGACTTTAACAAAAATTTTACAAAATTAACACCTAAAACAGTTATTTGTTCGCTCGACAGTATAGTAAAGGTGTGTCTCAGTTCAACTTTTCCTTAATAAATTAACTTTAATGGTCAAATCAGCTGCATTTCGCCTGGGCGGCACAACAAAATGCAGCTGATTTGACGTTTGCTCCAGGAGTTCTGGAGCGAGACGAAGGTGGCTTTGTATGGCAAGCCAAGTGGCTCATTAATAGCCACTTTTACCTATTAATGAGACATTGGCTTGCCATGTGGCTCGAGGGCCCTCTAGTGGCTAAAAATGATAGTGTTCAACATTTTCCATGTTAATGAATGAAATCGTAAGATCTCGACCAAAAATTGGGTTATAAATATGGAAAAAAACGTATATTAGTTGCTTCGGTATCTAATTCACAGGACTAGCAAATTTATGCAAAAAGGTGCGACTTATATGGCGAAAAATACAGTATTTTAAAATACTACCGTTTATAGTTTTTTCAGCTTATATATTTTAGCTGCTTTAAAGTTTTACTAAATTATGAAGAAATGCAGCTTTATATAAAGTGCGTAGTGAAATTGATGCCTCAGAAGAAAAAAACGTGAAAACAAAACAACTTTTGAACCTTATTATTTTTTTTCCACGAGGAAAGCGTGGACGGCCTGCAGCTCCTCTCGGTCTCTGCATCCTGGAACATTGTGTTCTGTGTGTTTGTTCTGATTGTTTCTCTCTCCGGCCGCGGCCTCCAGGTGGGCTCAGTCGTGGCGGTGGGTTGGATCCGCTCCCAGAAAGCTGTGGACTGGCACCTCTTCAGGAACATCTTCCTGGCCTGGTTCGTCACGGTGCCCGTGGCGGGCCTGTTCAGCGCCGCCATCATGGCCCTGTTCGTCTACGGCATCCTGCCCTACGTCTGAGGGTGAGCAGAGGAGGAAGGAGAGAGGCAGAGAGGGAAACGTGGGTGGAAATCAAAGAAAGAAGGAAATGAAGACGAGGAAGTGAGGAGGGAGGTGCAGATGTTTACAAATGGACTGTGGTTGTACGGTGGATAAGAGGAGGGTTGGTTCCCGTGATGCCTGGCTCCGTTGTCCAGAGATCTTTTTCTTCACTTGTCTGGGTTTCCAATCGGTTCACATTTGTTCGGAGGGCGGGTTGGTGCAACAACCTGAACCTTTAAATCTGCTGTAAATACAATTATCTGACGTTTGTTTTCAGCCTCAATTAGAAAAAACCACAAGAAACAAAAAACCAACAACAGCTCACGACTACAACTAATTTAAAAGAGGTTATTTTGCACACGTCGACAGTAAATCTGTTTTAATCTTCCTGCAAAACCAGCAGGTTTAGTGGGGGTCAGTTTCTTTTCGTAACGGTAAAATAATAAAACACAATGTACATATGTTATAGTGGATGGATCGTGGTTTGCTGTATTTGCTTCATTTAGCACAAAAAATAATAATAATCAAAGCGGTGGTCAACCAACCCATGCATCATCTCACTCTGAACATGCCAGGTACAGCAGGGGCCAAAAGGAAAAGAACGCCTCAGACAAGAAAAAAATAAATATATATATATATATATATACACCGAGAGAGGGTGGTGCAACTTTTTTATTTTCACATGATACCATAGAACCCTAATTTACTAAAGATTTGATTTTTGTTGAGAGCTCCTGTATGTTTCTAGAGATAAATCTCATATTTTTAAATGATGTATTATACTGTAATTTGTACTGTAAATACTGTCCAGGAGGAGTTTATCAGTGGGATGGGGATCATGGTTTTGTTTATCATGTTGTATGGGTGGGAGGGCGGGGGGTCTTTTTCACCTCATCATTAGATTGTTTCATACTGATAGCTCAAAGTAAAATACTGTAGTTTTAAAAAAAAGTCAGTTTGAATTTTTTGGATCCCCTTTCTTTTTCTTTTTTCTTTTTTTTTTTTGCATCGGTCAGTTCCTACACTTTTGTCAGAAAGGTGTAAAGTTTCCCTCCTGGAGAGAAAGTTGAGTTTTCTGTGCAGATCCATGCCAAAGGAACTTGTTTTCAACGTTTCAACGCGCCAGTGTAAAGAGGAAAATCTGTGAGTGCAGCGGATGCCAAAACTAAAGCTGAGCAGAGGCGTACGAGCACACGCTGATATCAGTCGTGTGTTTGTTCGCACACGTTTAGTCACTTTCTCATTGCGAAGCCTCCTGCGTGTTTGGGTCCAGGGTTTTCCTTTCTCACCAACCCTGAAAACCTCACACCGTTCATGTGACAAAAGAAAAATATCCAAGCCTCGTCACGTTGAACAGCATTTGTGTCATATCAAACACTAAACCTTTAAAATGGACGTACTGTAAGAAGACCAGGTGAAAGGACCGAGATTAAACTCCCAATCATGAGAATAGCGCGTTAAAGTGCAAACACCGAGACAGAAAGGCGCTGGAATGGCCGCTGTGGCCGCCATCTTACTAGGTGCTAGTCTGAACGGTTTACATGTCCAAGCCACACATTAAAGATGTTTGTTTAAGACACATTGAAATAGCCTTATTTTACTTAAATAAACACATATCATGCATATTGTACAAATGGGACAATTATGGTCTGTAATGAGCCTCCCATCAAGCCCAGTCAAGCTGCGGAGCACTGACCAGGTGTGCTACCGCTCGTGTAAGTGCTGTATTCGTTCTAACCAGACGGTGGTTGTAAGTACTTCATGCTGTATTCGTTCTAACCAGACGGTGGTTGTAAGTACTTCACATGTCCACTTGGTCTAAACAGAGCTCTGCTCCCAGTGTCTGTAGTTAATTTTACTTGGACTAATAATTTAAATATATACTGTAGCTCTAAGGTTAAGTCTGGTCCTCTGGACGAATTATTTTAACCTGGTTTAGCCTAGTTAGATTTATCTACCTGGATTATTGAGCATGCATCAGGATATATATTGTATGGCTTTCCCTCAAAATACTGGAATTATTCGGGTCTTGTATAACATAAACTCCAGTGTTTAGACTTGGATAAACGAGCTTTTGTCTTGTCCAGGGGTCTGCAACCTGCGGCTCCGGGGCCACTTGTGGCTCTTTGGTCCCTCTGCAGCGGCTCTTTCAAACGTTGACCAAAACTAAAATAAAACTGAATTTTATTTAAAGTATTGCCAACAATGAAAAATGAGTAGTTTTAGCAGATCTCCTGTCATTTTCAAACATGTGAAGAATAGTACAAATACAAGACGTGTACTGCATCATGCTAGTAGTTTGTTAGCCACTTTAATTCGACTTCCAGTCTCGCATCGTGATCTTTCTCTCAAAACCACCAGAATGTTTTGGAATATCTTTAAGACAAGCTGCTGAAAAGGAATATTTGATGACACTAAGAATAAAACGCAAAAAACAAAGTCAAACTAAACAAAAGTATTTATTTTTCTTTAAAAATGTATCTGGATATCCAACAAGCTGGCCTCATTTTATACAGTCTTTAACTTTATGCTTTAAATAGGATCCTTCATTATTCAACAATTAAGAGAACTCACATCGGCCTGCAGAGTTCAGTGTTTTAATTGTTATAAAATTGTAAAAAAAAAATTGTTTTAATTTGTTTACATGAATCTGGTCTTTTCTTTTGTATGAAAATGTAAAAATATAAATAAATGTTAATAATAGACATTTTTCGTTTTATAATATCATCTCCACTGGCCAGGAAAGTCCTGTCCAACAAACTTGTAGTGGTCCACAGGCCACCAGTTGACAGTACACAGTCGTAGCAGGTTTTGCGGCTCCGGACATCATAATTAGTGAGCAAAGTGGCAAAAATGTATTTTTATTGCAAAGGTTGCAGACCTCTGGTCTAGCCTATGCAGGAATCTGCTCTTAAGTGCAGAGCTATTACCCATAAATAAAATTAAACAGTTTGCAGACTGACGGCTGTTAAAGAACATGTTCCTAATATCGAAGATAATTCAGGAACTTTAATTCATGCACCCCCTCAGTACCCTGATTTACAGTACCATATTTTTTGGCTTATAAGGCGCATCAAGTGAAATAAAACAGTCAGATAAATCAAACTTTATTGAACTCATTCACAATAACCACATAAAATCTGTTTGAGGTCAGTAAGCACAACCAGAATTCATACATAAGATGCACCAGATTATAACGTTCACTGCTGATATTTGAGAAAATTTAAGGATTTTAAGTGCGCCTTGTAGTCCAAAAAATACGGTAATTATAGGAATCTAGAGAGCACCCACACCAAGCATAATAATCCAGTGTATTAATCTTGTATTTACAAAGAAATACTAAATTAGCACATTGTTTGAAGTGCAGTTATGACAGAACTTTGGACTTCTTTGCAGAGTTAAATATTTTTCCCTCAGATATTTATGGTAGCAGTAACTAAGGACCTGGTGTAGCACCTACCAAGATGGCAGCAGTAATTCTCGCCTCGTAAGCTACAGGCCGCACTGCGGTTGACCGTTCGGTGTGTTTCTATGAGAGTGTGTGCCAGTATTTAGGTGCAGAGGCATCTTCTGCTCAAAGATGCTCCAGTCCGACTCGTAAACTTCAGCTCAGCGTCATCAATCTGCCCGAAGGCTCATTCTGAGCCTGACGGGAGTTTTCAGGCTGCTCATGTCACAAAACATCACTAAACGTTTAGTCTGAAGGTCAATCTGTCTGAAAGTGACGTTTGTTTTTTAAGATGAAACTGATCATCACCAGCTTTTAAAACGGGATCGTGTGGACGAACAAAGTCTAAACTTTTTATTTGAACAAACTATGCCAGCTGTTGGAGGCCATTTTATTTGTATTATTTTTTTTTGGGGGGGGGGGGGGGGGGGGTTGTGTGTGGTGTGCTTCCTGTTTTTCTTCTCTCTCCATGAACAAATCTATGCTTACGCAGCCACATGCCTTGTAACGTGTTTTACTTTGTGCGGATACAGTAAAAATAACTATGTACTGTGGTGTTTACATTGTAACCATATTGTAGAGTATCTGTAAAAAGAATAAAATAACTGTTTCCTAATGATGCCAATGAAAGACAATTAACCATTTTTAAGTGCAAGCGGAAAAAAAACAAAAAACCAGAAGTGTCTAAAGAGAGAGAGAGAGAGAGAGAGGAAGAGTGAGCGCGATGACTTGTTTTTTTGTTTGTTTGTTTGTTGTTGTTGTAGTGCTAATCATGATCCCCGTCACTTTACACTGCAGCGTGTTAACACGACATGTACGGGTGCAATTCAGAAAATGAAAAGAATTCATCAAAACTATATATTTTTCTACCATATCTGAGTTTTAACTTGCCTGAGCTTCCAGACACTTTGGAGGAGACACCCTGGGCTCGACCAGGGAACGTTTTTTTTTTGTTGTTGTTTTTTCTTTTCTTTGGGGGGGGGGGAGCCCGGTGTCGTCCTCTGACATGTAGATTGACGTGTCGCGCCAATAGATCAGATTCTGAAGTGATCTTTTTTTGTGTGTGTGTGAACTTTAGATGAAAACACTTTGTAATTTTGTTTCCCTGCTGCTTCGATGCTGAGCTTTTTTTTTTTTTAATTTTTTTTTTTTTTTTTTTTGGGGGGGGGGGGTACTGCTCACCCACATCAGGAGCTACTTTACATGTTTTTAGGTGAGAAATTAAAATCTCAAACACAAACTGGACGGTGAGCGTTTGTTTCCAGGCAGCCGCGCTCTCCTGTAGCTCATGAGCCGCATGGTGCGCACGAACATATCCGTGCACACCAGAGCACCTTCTAACTTGTTACTAATACAAAGTGGCGTTGGTTGACGTAAAACAAAATGATGAAAGTGCAAAAACAAACTGTACAAAAGCAGGAATAGACGTCTATTATGTTGTTTGTAGACCAGCTAGTGACGCACCACACCATTTTACTTAACGTGTTTTTCGGACGATGAGGCGCATTCATTGAAACAAAACAGTTGAATCAAACTTTATTCAACTCATTCACAATAATCACATAAAATCAGTTCCAGGTCCGTAAGCACAAGCAGAATTAATGCATAAGGCGCACCGGATTATAAGGCTCACTGTTGATTTTTGAGAAAATTAAAGGATTTTAAGCGCGCCTTATAGTCCGAAAAATATGGTATAAAGCACTTATTACAGCAACATGGCCAACCACAGGCTGTGCAACAAAAACAAGCAAAGGACACAAGATAAAATGCATAGATCCAAATATGTAAAGATAAGAACTAAATGACAACATTATCTAATACAGACAAGTTAAAATCAACTCGGTGTCAAAAGACAGGGAATGACCTCAGAGAGCACTGTGGGACATATGGCTGCAGCAGATCAGCGAGATAGGAAAGGACAGAACTGTTCAGAGATTTAAGAACATGCAGAAGTATTTTAAAGTGAACTGGGATCCAGTGAAAGAAGGCCAGAACTGGAGTACTGTGCTCTCTTTTGCCTGTACCAGTTAAAAATCGGGCTTTTGAACCAGTTTTGACATGAAAAATGGCCCAACTTTATTCTGAAACTACATAAATGAATCTTATATTTTGTGTTTGTTTGAAATGTGTGAAGCTCAGGGATGTGCAGCAGATAAAATCTGCTGAATCAGTAGAAAGACTTGCCCGATGAAAACGATCGTCTCACCTGCACAGATCCCATTCAAGTCCTGCGTCTGCAGCCGACAATCCGTTTGAGCAGCTTTTAATTGAAAGCATCTTTGGACATCAGTTTTCTGAGAGTGTCATTTTAAAAACAAAAACACGTCTACTATTTTTAGGAAAGATTTAAAATGGATCAAAAACATATTGAGGCATTTTTAAGATTTTGTTTTTCCTCATCTATATGAAAGCTACTCATTTTAAACTGAACTCAAACACAAAAAAATATTATTATTAAATTTATCAAATGATGCCGTTTGAGTTAACTCGACCAGATATGCAATCCCCAAATGCAGGTACGCACTCAGTGTAAACGAAACACTTCTCTGCCCGTGAAGTCCAACAAATGGTTGGACTTCACCTCTAACAGCTGCTCAGTGGGCGATCCAGCTGTTTGCCTGTTTTCAGTCACTTTGGCTGTTTTGCAGATGAACAAACACATGATGTAATTGGCAACCGTTCACAAGTTTAGCTTACAAAATTTCTCTTTAAGAAAACATTAGGCATCAGAATGGGAGGGGGAAAAAATAGCAGATTGTAGTTTCTTTATAGTTTTATTTTTACCGGTTTTCATGATGAGTTTCTATTCATTACGATTTAAACCAAATATCTAGATGATGATTAAGAAAATCCTGGTTTTCTGTGCAGCTATGCTGTGTGGCTCAGTCTTTTTTCTGCCTTTCTTTGTCCTGAAGGCCTAAAAGAGCTGCACTGCTTAAAAACGAGGATAGAAAATGAAAAACCGTGCTCTGGTGGCACACTGAGGATTGACTATTTACTAAGATGTCGATAAATTTTCACAGAACAAATGTTAAAAATCAAAAATATGTTGATCAAAGGTGCTTCATTCCAACTATCTAGCATTAATTATTTAAAAAAAACAAGTCAGTTGTTAAAAAAAAACGTGTTTTTTTTTACCCTGAGCAGAAAAGCACAAATTGTTCAAACCGAGTGGATTAAATCTTTCAAGGTGCTCCAGTTTCAGTGTAGGTTAGAAAGTGGCCACTAGATGGCGCAGTTTGACGCTTTCATCCCCATGCAGAGAGCAGACTGGTTTGTTTGGGAGCTGCTCTGGGTCTTATCAGAACCATTTTACAGAGAAACTGAACACATTGTGCCATTTCCTCCCCCCTGACTGTGCACTGCTGTTTGTGTATGAGTTCCCCCTCATGTTTGTGTCCTGGCAGCGCCCCACAGCTCAGGCTGTCCTCTGACCGTGGCGTGCTGTTTGGATTCTTCTCCTTCTTTTCTGGTTGTTTCTGTGTTTCTGTAGCCTTTACGGCTCTGTGATGTCTTTTTCCTGTTCACTGCAAAAATGTCCAGTTCTTTAAAAAGTAAAAGGGGAAGAAAAATAAAAAAAGCCAAGAGAAACTGTAGCCTGCTTCTACAAAACTGCATTTGTCGTACTGTAATGTTTTATTCAAGCTTTTTAGTGGAGAAAAAAAAGTCACATTTAACTAAATTATGGGAATTAAAATTACAAAGAATACCCCCAAAATCTTTTGAGTTGTGTCTTTTTTAAAATAATGTATTTTTGGATGTACTGAGAAATTATATTTATTTATTATTTTACTTTGTCCAAGAGTTATACCCATCCTTATGCCGTACACGTCGCACAACTGTATAAGTCGCTTCACCATATACGTCGCATCTATTATGCATCACCGCTGACCACCCGGAAACGTGGGCCGGTGTTGTGCCAATGGTGGCCGCGGGAGTGTGCACGGGAGGACTTTAACAAGAATTTACCAAGATTAACAGTTCAAAACAATTATTCGTTTGCTCGATAATATAGAAAAGGTGTGTCTCGGTTGAAATTTTCTTTAATAAATGCACTATAATGGTAAAATCAGCTGCGTTTCAAGAATCGATTTGCGGCTGCTGGAGCGCACGGGGGGAGGACTTGCCGTGCATTTCTTTGATATTTAAAAAGATAACCATCTAAAAAAAATTGTTTGCTCGACATAGTAAAGGTGTGTTGAACTTTTCCTTAATAAAGGCAATTTAATGGTCAAATCAGCTGCATTGGGCGGCACGGCGAAATGCAGCTGATTTGGTGTTTACTGCAGGAGAGAGCGAGACAAAGGTGCCTGGTATGGCAAGCCTTGTGTTTCATTAATAGCCACTTTTACCTATTAACGAGACACTTGGCTTGCCATATACCTTGAGGGCCCTCTAGTGGCTGAAAATGGTAGTGTTCAATATTGTCTATGTCAGAATGAATGAAATCGTCAGATCTAAGCCAAGAATTGGTTTAAAAATATGAGGAAAAAAAACGTATATTCGTCGCTTCTGTATATAAGTTGCAAGACTTGCAAATGTATGCAAAAAGGTGCGACTTATACAAAACAAATGGTAATTCTGTTTGATATGATATACAGAAAAGTACAATAGAAAGTGTTACATTAGTGTGCTGTAATGAGAAGAAATACTTTCAAGATAGTTTGTTTTCTAAGAATTTTAAATTTAACTTTTTTTGTTGACTTTATTTTCAACATGTCGAACCTGTCAGTTTTAAAATGGCTGTAGATTACAGTAAATTGTTTAATTTGCTTAAATTTAATGAACAACCAAAAAGCTTGATTGGCTCATTTAGTTTTGGATTCAAACATGATGTATGACAGATAAATATATGAATAAATAAATATTGAAAAAAAGTTTCTTTCAGGTAATATTTCTAGTTTTGTACCAGTTTTGTTGGAATCTAAGAGCAAGAGGCCTAATCTGGCTTCAAAGGGAAAAGTTCACATTCAGTAATCTTAAAGAAAATAAAATAAAACCCGAAGACGCACTAAAATCTTTATCATTTGCTCCCACTGAGTCAGACTTTCTTCTAATCTTTTCAAGTGTTAATATTTCAGCTTTCTGATGGTTTGGGGGGAAAAGCAGCTAAAGTTCAACGAATATCTTTGAAAGATTTTAAGAAGTTAAAATATTCATCGTCATGAAATTATCATCCATATTTACCCCTTTACAGAAATTAAATATTTCCTCACAGATTCAAAAAGTAGAATTACATACATTTGACGTTTATTGGTTTATGGAAACGACTTCTCTATTTGACTCTTCAGGCTTTCGTTGCAAATAAACTCATAAAGTAACAATCTGCACTGTATTTTTCCTCATATCGATGCTTAATGTGTTCTTAAATAAGTAAAAATTGCGAGTATAATTTATGACTAGCTGAATGCGTTTGTTTACCTGCAGAAACAGCCGAAGTGACTGAAAGCAGCTGAAACGTTGAACTTAGCCACATTTTCCCCACACAAACTACAGCCAGGAGGTCGATCACGTGGCTCAGACGCAGCTGATTGTTTACGTTGAGAGCGGACCCGCGTTTCAGAATAACATTCAAACGGCTCCATTCGAAGTAGTTCAGGATGAACATCGTTGACGAGTAGCTGTAACTTCGCGTCATCTTTTCAGGCTTCGGATTTCTTGTAAGTTTCTCCTGAAGTGTTTTGCAACCGAGCTGGATTTAATTTAGTCTCTTCATTGATGCTAAGGAGGGAAAAGGCCGTATTACTTCAAGTGTCTGTGTTTACACACCAGGACAATGGTTTTCATTGTTTCCTGCAGTTGGAGCTCTGTAGCCTTTTAATAATGCAGAGCCTATTCATGCTCTGGAGTTTATTTATGTGGCTTTTTGTCCTCGGCTTAATTGACAACAGAAAGGCCTTCGGCTGTTTATAAAATGCAGCTCCTGCACAGCAAAACGGCTCCCATCAGACTGAAGCTGTTGTGCAGGTTTAAAGGTTTAAAGAAAACAAAAAGAGAAATGCTCGTCCAGAGTTTTGAACTTCATTTAGCTCACTTTAAAATGTTTGTTAAATCAAGACCGCAGAGCTAAAGTTTAACACCAGAGGGGAGACGTGTGATTAAACGAACGGCACAAGGGCTAACAGGAGAAAACGTCAAGGTACTGGTGCTAAACCAGTTCCACTAGCAGCTAAACGGCATGTTGAGTCGTTTTCTGTAAATACTTTTACATTAGATCAGAGCTAGTCAACTAAATTACTCGGGGGGCCACAGTTACTGAAAACCAAGATCTCAGGGGCCGGACGTCCAACAGTTATTGTCATTAAGTTCGTTTTATGATTTAAAATCGTTTTATTTAAAAATGAACCTACTGGTGGGCCGAACCGAGCTCCCCTGTGGGCCTGATGTGGCCCCTGGGCCACCAGTTGAATAACCCTGCAGTAAATGAACGACTTCAATGCCGCAGCTCAATTTGTGAAACCAATTCAGGATTCTCTGACGAGCCCCGAATTATTCTCCTATCCTGGATTATTTAATCCCTTTTTGTTAAACTTCTCTGGCACGCTTTTTTAAAAGCACCTCCAGGAACGTGCGCTGGACATTAAACATGACAAATCTAATTTAATCTGGTTAAACACGAAGCCACAACCTGCCTGACATCTGTAAATATTTAGAGTTGTGTCATGACTCGTTTCAGTGAAATACCCGACATATTAAAGTGTTTAATTACATCCTTTTATTATTATTATTATTGAGTATGGACTTTATTACATTCTTATTTTTTTGAAAGTTCTTTTTAATGTTCGTTTCCTGCTCTGAATTGGCGTTTTCTGTGGATATTTGCTCGTCACGAGTCGCCACAATCTGCAATAACGCAGCTGTGCTCATGTCAGGTTTTTTTTGGCCCTCGAGCTGTTCCATCAACTCGCTCCAGTTTGTCCAGATTAGTGTTTTTGCAGCTGCACTCATGGAACGAACTGGACCAGCTCCTGAGACGGTGACGTTTGACGGCAGAAAAGCGCCACCGATCAGGTGATGCGACAGATTAAACCAAGATGGTGGAGCTTTTATTTTTCCACCGTGCATGCTCACCAGGACGTTGGCAACTGGGAAAATAAAAACACAAACCAGAGCAGGATTGGGTTAGTTCATTTCCATCCAAAAACAGTTTTATTCTCCTCCAATCTGAAAGGTTTACCCTGTCGTTTGGCTCGTCTGAAGCCAAAAAACATTACATTGCATTTCTTCAGCTAGCACTGGAGGCATACAAAGATCTTTTCTTTTGAGTCTGAGAAGTTAATGAGAAGTCACATGATGAATAACCTTTGCATTTCATGAGTAATGGGATTAATTTAAAATGGAAGGTTTGAGATAGAAGCATGTGGTGTTCTGTAAAAGAAAGAAGGAAACCGTGAGGAGCAGGGTTGTGTTCGTGTTGAACAATGAATGAAACAGTCGGACTGAAGAGATCGTTTCGTCTCTCTTGCCTCAGCAGTGTATCGAGTTCAAGTGGAACATCTGTAGTGTACACAAACGAATACCGGATACGCGAATCAAAACCAAAGTGCCCGCAGTCGATATAAAGCCAGGTCACATGACCCCAAAAATGGTGACGTTGCACAAAGGGGGAGGGGGTTGAGACTGGACGTAAAGGTCGACCAAACACAGCCGTGTGTGTGTGTGTGTGTGTGGAGAAACGCCAACCGTGTGGCACCGTCCCCGTCCGGTGACTGTGCAGCGCAGAAAATGGGCACATGGTGATTTAAGCTCATGCTCAAGTTGTGGTAAACCATCCAAGCACTTCTTTAATTTATAAATACACAGCAGCGCTTTTACCGGAGAGGCTTCGGTCGGCCCTCCTCTCCCTCGGTGACGAGTTCGTCTCGTAAAACGGCCAACTACGCTTAGAAGAGCGAGTTATGTGGGATTGATTATCGACTCTCGGATAGATTTTTCTATAATATATTTATATAATCATTTTTCCTTTGCTCTCACTCACCCACCACGCTCGCTCGCACATTCTCTCGTCTCACTACTTTTATTCAACGTACACAACGTAAAACATGGGCTGGAGTGGGGAGCGGCAGAGCTGTAATGACAATCACTGGAAACGAAAAAAAACAACAAAAAAAAAAGGCCAAAAAGAACTGCAGTCTTTTTTTGTCATCCATTGGCACTTGGACTGACGAGCAGTCGGCTAGTCTCAATGGTGTTTTCAGGGGGAGGGAGCAGCCATGTCATCAAAGGGGCGGAGCCGGGGGTTCTTTCTTCGTCGGTGCCGGTTTAGTCGTCGTTTTCGGCGTCTTGGGAGCGGGGCTCGTCTCCTTGAGGTTGAGGTTCTCCAGCGCCACGTCTAGGGTCATGACTTCAACGCAGCCCATGGCCTCGAAGTCGGCGAAACTCCGCAACGAGCCGGGGCAGTTGTCCTCGTCTTCGGACGAGGAGGCCGAGGCGTCCTCGTCGGGCAGCAGCGTGGACAGCAGCAGCTCCGTCACAAACAGGCTCCTGTCGGCCCACTGGGCCTCGCACGCCTGCCGCTCCGCCTCGGACAGCCGGGGTTCGCTCAGCCTGCGACACACACGTGGACAGGTGGAGGATTTATCAGCTGACGGAGCAACAACCAAAACAAAACAAGACAGACGTTCAGGACATGAGCTGCTCAACACGAGACTGAAGAATTCAAGGTTTGACACACGTCACTCAGAATCTGTTTGGATGCAGCAAAGTTAGATCTGAATATACGTTTGTAACAACTGACACCGTGGGACCATTAGCAGCTGCAAAATGATGGTTTCAATTAGAGTTGGGCTGTAATACAGTAACATCACTGAGAATATTTAAAGTAAGATCCTCTACAGCAATATTAAAATCTAATAAATTAGACATGCCTATTAATTGACGAGTTAATTCTGTGATGTTATGACCAATTTTGTCAACATTTATTTAGAGCTAGATTTGTTTATGACTTTTAATAGTTTGTTTTTTCACTTTATTCTGCGATACATCAACAGGTATATTAGCTGTGTGTTGCATTTTCAATCTGAGGTGAAGCTCATAAAATGTCCTAAAATTCAAGACAGACATTACTTAATACCTTAATATTGTTTAATTTTAGGAAGGGTTAAATATTTGGTGATCTGTGATTCATCTGTGCTGCTGTATTGATTCATAACCATCTGCTCACAGACTCATGTTCGAGCTGCTGCTGTTACACCGTATTATTTTACATTAGTGTTTAGCGTTTATCTTAGATCTTTTCGCGTACTGTTGGCGTTTTATCTTAGATCCTTATATACCGGTTCATTTTATACTTTATATTTTGGGGCGTAACTGGGACTTTGTGTACATAATTTAGTTCCACCTCATGTACCACGTGTGACAGTAATGACAATAAAATGAATTTGAACTTGATCTATCGCAGCTTCACTGCCCTGTTGAAAGTTGAGGACGCCTGCTGTTCGTCTTGAAGCATTTAAGCCTCATCATTCAGTTTCCTCTCGTTTCATTTCACTTGTTTAAAATGTCAAACTACAAAAACAAGTCCAGATTCAGCTCATCACTTCTTCACGCTGCCTGTGTGCTACGTCTTGAAGCTCAGTCCTACCTGCTGAGTAGAAACTGGGAGCTGTGTGCAGTGTGCTGTGTGTTGGACTCGGTCGGGCCCGGGTTGGGACTGGGGTTGTTGGTGTGATTGGCGCTGGGGTTGGGGTTTGCGGACGCCGAGTTTGTGTTGAGGATTGCGTTAGCACGGCCGCCCCCTCGGGTGGCGTTTCGGGCCGTCTCCAGCTGCTGACGCGCCGCCTGCGCCTGCTGGCGCTCCAACTGGAGCTGCATCTGAAGCTGCTGGAGCTGGGAGGCAGAAGGACCCGAGCTCAGCTGGCCTCCCGCCGAACGCCGCACCCCCGACAACTGCGACAGGAGCTCTGCAAGAAACAGAAAATAAAACTGTGGCTGCAGTTTGGAGCTGAATGCTTCACTGCATCTTTGAAAACTGTTCAAATGATCCTAAATATATTTAAATCACATCATGTAAGCAGAAATCTTTGCTCAAACACGAAACCGTCCACGTTGTCCATCCCTAAAACCAAACATTTTGAGCAGCGTGCACAGAGGTGAAGACACATGCAGGGCGAGTGTCGTGCACTAAAACTTGAGCAGTCAGGCAGGAAGCTGCTGTTCTGTTTGTGTGGCAGACCGAACACAGACCCTCATTATTACACAGCAGGGGGGGACACAAAATGCCAAACACTGACCTAAACTGGGACCAGGGTAAACAAGAAATTGCCACAGTAACGTTTCTGTCAGTGCAGAACTTTGAACACCCACTGAACCATGTTCTGCTCATTTGAAGCTGCAAGCCCAACAGAAAGAGGCGGCGGCAGAGACAGAGGCATGTTCGTCACCGCGCCGCCTCGACTCCAATGAGATTATCTGAGAACTGAGGAAACCATGCGCCGTAGGTTTGAGAGCTAAATTCTTCCTTTTTGTACTCAACATTTGATTTCAGATGCTCAACAATTGAGACATAATTTGCCAGATTATAACAGGATTACATCCCTCGGCTCGTTTACTGAAGACCCATGTTAAGCGGTCTGGCATCAGCCGAGCTAACCTTCGCAGCTTCATGTTCGGCTGCGTCTCCCAGGGAGGCTGGAACTCTGAGTGTGTTGTGTCACTGACCTGCTATGGGGTCCATGGCCTCTCTGCTGTAGTTGGAGCTCTGTGAGGAGCTCTGACTGGTGGAGAGCCCCCCCGTGGAGCTGCTGGTGAAGTGCATGTTAGACCTGCGGGCCCGCGGCCCCCCCAACCCACGCCCGGGGTGAAACATCCTCCTTACGTGCCGCACCCCGCTGGACTCATCGTGATGCTCGGCGTCAAGGAACAGACCATTTTATCACATTTTATTGCTTTTAGCACATAACTTGCTTTATTTGTTTAATATTGTGAAGCATTCTCACTTTTAAGAAGCTAAAACCTTTTTAAGGATTTGTTGCTTGTAAGATAACGACCTCCTGAACTGCCACTTCTCTAAAGGTTTTCCAGTCGGGGCTGGTGAGCGAGCTGCGATTTGAGATCATATTTGCATGCTGGTCTCACACCAGCAGAAAACAAAACACCACTGAGTAAACTCACCAACACGAGCCACGCTGTGAAGCTTCTCATGTTCTTCTAACTTCTATTGAGACGTTGCTTTTGTCACTTTCCCTCCACAGCATTTGTTCAAAGTGATCTAAAAATAATCTGTCAGAAGATCTTTCAGCCGACTCCTGACAAACAACTGATTTCAGTTCAGTCTTTAAAACAACGAGACACTTACTCATTGTTAGTTTGATCATTTGTTCAGTTTGATTTTTTTAATTATTTATACCCCAACTGAAAGAGGAGTGATATATTGGAAGTTGTCCCTGGACTTTGGCCCAACAGGTCTTTGAATCTTTGATACATTGTGATGCGAGCATTAATAATTCTGAATTCATTAAAACAATTGTCAGTGTCTGTTTTATATTGTAGAGCAAAATGATTTGTTTTGTAAGGTTAAGAGATTTTATTTGTCGTTTGAATCATCTGATAATCACATCACAGCCCTCTGAATCGTAATCCAATCGTGATGCGTTTAAAGATTCCCACTCCTACAAAACAGGAAATGGCACTTCAGCTGCAGCTGAGGAGGAAGAGCAGTTGTCTGAACAGTGAGCCCTGGGTTGCCCCCTAATATATGTGTTTTTGTTTATGAATGGATTTAGTGCAGGGCTATTCAACAAAACTGCTCAGGGGGCCACAGTTCCTAAAAGCCAACAGCTCGGGGACCGGACATCCAGCAACTTAAAATCATAAACCAAAGTCACGGCCCGCGGGCCACCAGTTGAAAAGCCCTGATTTAGTGTAAAAGCTCTTTGAGTGGTCAGTAAAACTAGGAAAGTGCTAATAAATGCAGCCCATTTACATGAGGAGATGATAAATCATTACCAACCTAGCTGTTTTTCCTGTTAATTATCCTTTTAATTACAATTTTATTTTCACTTGTTAAAGATAATAATAATAATAATAATTTGAATTTGTATGCATCCTTTGATTGTCTATTGTTGTTGTCCATTGTTGTCATCACTTTTTGTTAAAATTCAGGTCCCACTTGTAAATGAGTCCCGGAGGCTCAATGGGATTAACATGTATAAATAAAGGTTGAATGAAAAAATATTTGTTTTGAGTTCTATTTTAAATCTAGCTTAACTAAAAACTAAGTAAAGTGTTTACATTGAAAGTGAAACCAGAGCTTATCGAGTGCATCTTCCACACATCCAGCAGCAAAAAGCAACCAACTAACATTGGAGAACATGTAGAACTCTTGATAATGGCCGTCTTGATCATTTTAAAAATGACCACTGGAGGCCTCAACATGTCAATGAACGTCACTTTCTGTGCACGTTGACGCACTCAGACATTATGATGACATTTCTCTTCATGTCTTAAGAACACGTTCAGTCCTTACAGCTGCTCAGTCCTGTCTGCTGAGGTGGCAGCGCTGCTTAAAAAGGATATCAAGTCTCTCGGAGCTCTGTGTTCAAGTGTGAGATGAGCAGCAAAGTCATCCGTCACGTGGTTCGGGTCGCCACCTGGCAGCGCTGCACATATCGGGCAGATCTAGAGGACAAGAAGAGAAGCGGCTATGTGACAAAAATCAGCCGAACTTCAGCACGCATTCAGCCGTCACTGGTTAAGCAGCTGCTTCTTGAACGACGCCGATATGGAAAGCTACTCTATTAAAAGAAGAAGAGAGAGATTAATAAGCTTTTCCAGTAAACAATGGAGGCTGAGGAGGACTTTTGGCATTTGAAAGACAAAAAGTGCCTAGCAATCATCTAAGCCCCCTTTTTTAATTCAAAGAGCAAAAACATTTAATTATGACCTACATAAGGATTTCAATGCCTTTCTATTTGTGACAAACGTAATTAAACTTTTCACTGAGGGTTCAGTGAACTAAAACTCATTGAATTTACTGTTTTCATAAGAACTGAGAACGTTAGTGAAAGTACTAAACGCTGATAGTGTCGATGTGAATAATTTCACTCCTATCCAAGTCGTGGCCTGTAGCGTGTTTCCTCTGGTCCACACACCAGCCATCATGGATGGAAGAACAGGAGATGAATATCCTAAAAAAAAGCTTTGAAGCAACAGAAACACCACGTTTCATTTTAATATCAGAGAAAATAAATAATGTGCAGAAACTGTGCTGACATTAAAAGAGGCCTGGCTGGGTGGACTGCTGGACCATCTTGTAGCAGAACTCTTTATTTTATCACATAATCTTATCACCGATCTTTAATCAAGCTGATGTGATCACAAGACTTTTCAAGGAGCTTTTAAGAGCTAGGACTGCTAAATGCTAAAGTAAAACATCTACAATGAGTTTCATGTGTGACCTAAAGTCGGGACGTAACGAAACGAGACAGATTCTCAGAAAGCCGGAGTTTCGGTGACCGTGCTGCTCATCGTGTCTGTCTGAACAGCAGCCACTCGCAAGGTGGAAGAAAAATCAGCTGCGCTATTTTTAACCAGAAGACGTCATGCTGACTTCTGGTCTTTTTGTCTTCGCATGATGATTTTCAACTTGATGAGAAGTTTTGCAACGTTCAGTGTCTCGTGGTATGAGAGTTTGTCTAAAGTTGATTAAATATAAAAGTCAACTTTCCTGATTTTATTCCCTCACAGTCAAAGGAAAATCAGCGAGTACCTATAAAAAGAGCCTACTTCACTTCACTTTCACTAATTGTTTCTGCAAAGACAGATTAACACTCGTAGAATCTAGAGCCACCAAAACATCGCATGCACCCAACCAGGATAACTTCCTGTAGACGAGCAATGGGTAACATGAATAAACGCTGCAGCCGGTCCAATCCTCACAGACGCTGAAGGTTTCACAGATCGGTATTTAAACGGCCGCTCACCACTTCTGTGGAGGTCTCCGTGTGCTCTGCAGCCACATGCTCCTGCAGAGAGATCTCCGTGTAGCCCATCCTGCCGCAGTACGGACAGGTGAAGGCCTGGGGCTGTTCCACCGAGAAGGCTTCCCCACCATAGTACAGGTCTGAGAGGAAGAAACACACGTAGGCTTTAAAGGGGAAAAGAAATAAAACCACAAAAGAACAAGTTTTCATGTTTTTGCTTTTAGTCACTTCCATTAAAAAAATAACAGTGGCTCATTTGTCTGATTGAAAAGTTAAACGGCTTGTTAGCAACTATGTAAAAATCTCAAAGTGGAGTTAAAGTTCATCGCTTTTGGTTGATGACATCACCGGCACCAACCGATATATCAGTAGGGCCGATACAGGCGCTTGGGGACATATCATATTGTGATAATTGTCCCATTATGCGCCGATATAAACGCTTCTAATTTTCACACCTAAAGTGCTGGAACCAGCTGTAATTGTACAACGTATCCAGCAAAAACATTTTAAAAACACTGCTGCGGTCAGTACTAATTATGCCTTCACCATACGTGACTGACAGATTAAACAATGAACAGGGAAGGGCGTTTCTTCGTTTAATTTACATTATTAACACACTTGATAACTTTATGGTGAATCGTGGAGGATGGAAAATGTGAACGGACGTTAGAAAGACAGTTTCAAGACTTCAAGTGTCAAAGCAGGTTGAAAAGTAGCGGTTTACTTCTTGGAGGTGGACAAAGCTCAAATATTTTCTGCCAGTACATCGCTTATTGGCATTCTCAACAAATATTAAAAGGAATTGTGAAATATTAAATTTATTTAAGTTTCACAAAGTTTGTTTTACATAAAGAGATTTTTAAATATTGTATTAAAGCCAATTCTTGATTGTTATTTAGTCAAAGACACAAAATAACAACTAAAAACTTTAAACTACAGGTGGTCTAACAGGTTTCTTTGGAGGTAATAAGTGAAAGTTTTATTGAGAGTAAAAATCCAACACAACTGTAGGATTTGAGTCTGTTATCATGTTCTACTGAGATGTTTAGGTCTTTTTAATGAATAAAGTTTGAGGTATGAATAAAATGCTCCTCTGAATACAACTAGTTTCTAATTTTATTATGTATTGTTGCCAAGGTAGGTCATTTTTGCAGACTCTTTTTTTTTTTTAGCAAAATACCAAAAAGACAAAATGACAAAGTCTAAAACAGAAACACTTGAAAGAAAACTACCGGTACATTTTTCTGAAATATTTTGTGTGACTAGTTCACTAATCATCTTTCGGCTGCTCCCTTGTCCCTGCTTCAGGGGTCACCACTGCCAAGACTTGGCAGGTGTTTTTACACCAGACGCCCTTCACAACCACAGACCACCGAGCTACCACAACGCTCTGTGTGGAGCAGAGAGCTATCTATGGTGCATCACAGGCTCGCTGTCTCTAACCTCTGCGCCACCGCTCTCCTCTATTTCACACACAAGAGGAATGGATTTAATTAATTTTTTTTTTTTAACTAGCATTTTCGTTTCTCCCTCCCTTTGGTTGCTCTCTATAGCTTTACAAAATAAATATTATTTTACAATACTAATTTAAAAAACAATTTAATGTAATGCCACTAAAAATGTTTCATCTAAGTGAAAATAAATCTATGAAGGAGTCCAAACAAAAATAATCTGATTCAAAATAACCTCCTCTGTCTGGTCCAAAACCATCACTAACAAATATTTCAATTGAAAAACAAAAACCAGTGTCTTAAAAGGATAAAACACAATGTTTCACATGTAAGCCACTCAGTGCCACTGAGGAAGTTTATAAAAACTTGATCCTAAAGAATTACAATTGTTGCATTATTTGTCAGGTTCGATTAAGAAAAAACTGCAACAGGATCCAACAGCTTTAGAAACAAGTCATTTTGTGTTCTTCCAAATAAGCCTGAACTTTCACTCCTCAAACTAAACACACACATGCACACAATGCCTCTTCAGCTGAAGAGGACAGACGTTTCAATTTTAGAGCTCAGTCAAGTTTAGTTTGGACCTAAAAACGTTTCAGCATTCAGGGAACGAGCCAACACAAGAAGCAGCTTGTAAACAACGAGCACGCTTCTTTAGAAGTGATGAGCAGAGACGCTCGACTGAGCACCACAGATCCTCAACCGGCTGTGAACAAGCCCGACGGGAAAACGAACTCCACTCACCGAAGTCGACTCGCGTCAGTATGCACTGCATGGGGTGTTCTGTGGTGTGTCTGGTCGTGGTGGCACCGCTCTCGTAGCACGATGCGCACAAATCGTAGTCGTAGCAAATCAAACATTTGTACCGGCGACCTCTGAAGTTTCCTTTTAAACATGCATCACAGCTCACACCTAAAGGAAGAACAAAAAGTAACACAAGGGGAGTCAGAAGTGCAACATCAGGTGAGCAGTTTTTACACTCTTTTTAAAATTAACAACCGTTTTATTTTAATTATTACAAGTTGTAATTCTCTCCCTTGCTTATAAACAGTTTGTTAGTTCAGGTAAGAGTCACAACTTTTCACAAGATATTGCAAGCATGTAACTACTTGGTTAGAAATTTTCCTGAAGGATATAAAAAATATTGTTCTTTAACTTTTATACCGAGTCAAACTTTTCAGAAAACTACAAAAATTGCTTAAGGGCCCAAAGTGGGGCAAATGAGGGTAGAGTAACACCTTTCCCACCCACATATTGATGTTGTCGGTACTGGGAGTTGAACCGACAATCTTTCAATCACAGGCCCACTTTCTCTAACCTCTGCGCCACCACTCCCTTAACGCTATTTAGTATAATGAACATCAATTAATACAACTGCTGTAGTCGTTTTACCAGTTTAACTGGTTATAATATTATAGTCAAGTACTTGTCTTGTTAATAATGCCCTACTTACTGATTTATGAGCATTTTATTTAAGTGAAGCTAAAGTAACCTTTTCTTTTAAAACCAAACTTACAAATGCATCAAACAAGATACGATCAAATTGATAATAATCATGAATTAAAGCCAAAAAAAAAGCATTACAATAAATTTAAAATTAGCTCCGAATTTGAAGTGTTAAATACAAACTTCTTGAAAAGAGGCAGAGTTTCAGCTGCGATTTAAAGCACGAGAGAGAGCTCGCCATCCTGACTTCTAGAGGAAGACTGATCCATTATCTGGGACTCCCACGACCGTCCCCTCATGTTCTGCGAGAACATCTAGGAGGCCTTGATCTGAAGATCTTGGGAGTCTAGGCATGTAGGGGTTTAATAGTTCACTGATGTAAGCAGATTGATTAAAGCTTTGGTTTTAAGGCAAGTTTAAAAAACTATTAGGAGAAATATATATATATATATATAAAATCAAAAGGCATCAAGTACAAAACCAGTTTTCAGCATAGTTTGGACAAAACTAGACATCAAAGTAACTATATATAGGTATTACAACGATTATGTTCTAGAGATCCCTACTGTTACTATCCAAATGTATATGTCAGATATCATTACATTATATAAATAAAAGGGGGTGTGCACATGAGGTGTAAACTCATTCAGAAGGTGTTGCATGGCCTGCGTGTTGCAGACTGACTGTGACAGTCATGCAGCATGTCTTCAGCCCCACATATCTTCAATCACAGCCAGGAAGCTTAAAGCCCACAGCAAACTTGATCCTGCTGTTCAGCGGCTGCTACAGGAACGCAAAGTGCTGCAACAACCACGAAAACATGACTGATAAACAACTTGACGACTGCTGACAGCAAAGTTCACAACAAGCCTGAACGAAAGACACTGCCCAGGGCCCGACTGACCTCTGCAGCCAGCCAAGCAACCACAGAACCATTGTTATTATTCGACACAAACATGCAACTTCAACAAGGTTAGCCACAAGGACGGGGCGATAGTTTGCATTATGTTAGCCTGCGAAACTGGAATCCACAGGACAACTTTCACTAAACTACCTGAGGTGTGACTCATAAACAAGCTTCGACCTTTTTTCAACGCCATCTGGGATTCGCTAGCCTGTAATGTTGCCTATTTTCGGCACTCCTCCTGCTGTTCGTCAACGATCACCTGCATTACCGAATGCTAGTTAGCACTTTGCTAACTAGCGTCTTCCGCCTCTGTGACAGCGCTGACTTAAGGGAAATAATCTTGAATAGTCACCAAAACAGCAACTGCAAGTCCAACAGATAAATATATATATTTATACGGCCGCCAAAATGCGTACAAGTAAAACTCAACTGCTACGTTGCTGCTACAGCTAGCTAGCGTTAGCCGCAAAATAAGCAATTGTCGGCTAGTCATTTAGCTCGCGGTGCAGTTGTCAGCGGGTTTTTAATCAGAAATTCTGATTTAGCCACAGCTCTGCGCTTAAATTCTTCAATACCTTCATGACGGGACATCCTATGAACACAAACGCAGCCCCTGCTCGGGCTCCCGGGCCTGCGACGTGGAATTAAACGTGAGAGAAGAGAAGAGGACCCGGGGCTGTGCGCCTGTCCCTGGCCTCTTCCCTCATGAAGGATCCGGTTTGGCTCACTGCCGCCTCCCTCCGTCTGCTGCTGTGTCACTGTCTCGCTGCACTGTCCACACGGGGGCGCCATTCGCTCATGTATCAAGCCACAACGGCTCGACTGTAGAAGTTTTCTTCCCCGGATACCGATGCGCATGCGCAAAGTCAATATATTCACGACGACTTCCGGTAGCTATAAATAAATGAAAAATTGAAACAAAACTAATAATTCATCAGATAAAGAGGCAATTCTGAGTGATAGTAAAGAATACACACAAATGAAAAATAAATGTTGATTAGATGTGAAAGAACTGGAAGTAAGAAATATATTGCAAAATACTGACTTTGAGCGTGCGCGTTAGAAATGAGCAAAAAATGTAAATTAAAGAAAATTGAAAGTCACTGAAGTTAAGCACAATCTAATGAAATTACAACATATCATGTTATTATTTACTTCATAATTAAAGCTTACGTTACAAAATTACAGCAAGATGCCAAAACACTTAATTGTTATTGGTTAAAAAAAATAATAATAAAATGGTGCTCATATTAAAGTTACTTTCAACAGACCCAACTCATTCAAAGCACACCAGGCCAAGAGTTTTTTCAAAGCCAAGGCATGAAGAAAAATTCTAAATATATTTTTTCAATTTAGTCACGCCAATCCACAACAAGTCATCTCAGGACCCTACACCAAAACTAACAAAACAAGTCCAATTCAGTACCAAACTGGTCCAGATTCAATATAATTTACAGTAAGTTAATTTGAATTATAATACAATACATCCACATTCAGCATATTATGAAAGGGCAATTGGTACGCTTTATTTATTAAAGGAAACAAGCAATTTGCATTGAATCTTCACTTCTTGCAATCTCCCATACTGAACAGCATGTTGGCGACAGTGGAAAGAAACAACTCACTTTTAACAGGAAGAAACATTGGACAAAACCAGACTTAGGACGGCGTCCATCTGCCTCAGCTTGGGTGATGTGAGGGAACAGAGACAGTCCAGAAGTGGTATCAATGGAAAGAAAACAAAGGAAAACACAATGATTGTAAATTTAAATGTGGAAAATACCATAATCGAGTAAAGGCAGCTGCAGAGTGAGGAAATCAGGTCATATTGTCCTCCACCAGTCTAAGCCTATAGCAGCATAACTAAGGGATAGCTCAGGAAACCCAAGCCAACTTTACCTACCTGTATATAATATATCAAAAAGGAAAAAAAAACTTAAGCCTAATCCTAAAAGCAGACAAAGTGTCAGCCTCACGGACAGAAAATGCAAGTTATTTTCACAGGAGAAGCCGGATAGCTGAGTGAAATTTTACCACCATCACTTTGTGTGTTTCATTCTTTTAATTCTTTTGACCTTAGCTATCCTGTTTGAGTTTACGATGGACAAAAAGTCTCCAAAAAACGAGGTCAGAGTACACTCAGGACGGACTACTAGTTCATCAAAAGCACAAACAAGCCTCTCAGTAACAGGGTGAACATGTAAAATCCACACAAAAACATACGCACGGCCAAACTGTGAACAAGAGGCTGTAATAATGTGAAACAACTGCGTCACAAAATCATTATAGAAATATTTAAATGGTTTAAAAGAACAAACCAGTTTTAGGTCATTAATTACAACTCATGAAGATGTAGGCACACACACACACACACACACAC